TAAAGGTGAAGACCATATTACCCAAATGCACAATCAATTTCGGATCAGGTTCGGGTCGGTTCTTAGATTTGTTTAACCTGCTACATAAATTTCAGAAAATAATAATAGAAAAATATAAAAAAATATATATACAAATAATAATATATCATACTTCTAATATTATTAATATATAGCGTATTTATTACCCTATTAGATAATTTATTATTATTTTTTATATAAAAAATTTTGTAATCATATTTTATGCAATCTATTATGAATATATGAAAAAAATGAAATCTTAAAAATTATCATTTTCTGTTAATTTCAATTTTTCAATTTTAGTGTTATAATCTAGTGTATTCATGTTTTAATTTCAAAATTTATTTAATTTTAACTTAATCAATCAAAATATTTTATTTATTTTAAAAAATTTGACATATCACATTTACAGGTTAACATAGAAAACACTAACTTTTGCTCGTCGTTACATCGGATTTTTTTACTTAAGTGTCATTGTCAAATAATAGTTAAGATAAAGAAAAACCAAAAAAGAAAATTAATTATATGTATTAATAAATGACTAATTTATTCTTAATAAATGTTTTATAGAAAACACTAAAATACAATGGTATTTCATGTAATATAACACATTAATCATGTTTAAACATTTAACAGAACATTTTTTTAATAGAATAGATCTTGACTATAGGAAGAAATTGATTGGCAAGTTGATCTCATAATAATAAAATCAAAATTGACTTCCTTTCTTAACGTACAAAGTTAATTCATGTCATTATAAGAGAATCAGAAATGTTGATCTCCACTTTAATGCTCTTCATTGAAATGTTGGTCTCCATTCTATTGCTTTTGATTGAGCATTTGGGATATAAAATAAAGGGTTTGACTGGTATCTCAATTTAATAGCTGAATAGTAAAATAACTGAATAATAAACTAGCATAGTCAATAGGATGGGTAAAGTGAAAACTGAATAAACTCAAAATGCTAAAAAGCTAGTATCTATTAGATGAATAATTTTTTCTCAAAACTAGTTATAAATTTAAAATGTGCGGGATGAATTGAAAAATAGCGTGTTTATTTTTACTTTTTATCATTCAGTGGTTTGACTGGTATGTCAATTTAATAGCTGAATAGCAGAATAACTGAATAATAAACTAGCGGAATCAATAGGATGGGTAAACTGAAAACTGAATAAACTCAAAACGCTAAAAAGCTAGTTGAAATTAAAAACGTGCAGGATGAATTGAAAAATAGCGTGTTAATTTTCACTTTTTATCATTTAGTGCTTAATATTGTGAATGATATGTATTTAGTGGAATCACGTTTTCAAAACGTAAAAACGTAAAAAAACTACATATCATTCAACCCCAAAGTCATCGTCTCCTTCCTTTTATTATCTATTACACAATCACAAAAACAATTTTCTTAAAATCTTTTTTTAAAAGAATACTGTCAGAAATTTTAGTTCACCAAATATACAATGTCTTTTTCTTTTTGCCAAGTAGGATGTTGCTCGGGACAACAGCATTGTCTAGCTCGAAAGAACCAACATGAACTCTCACTTTCTCTTCTCCATTCATTCTACAAGGGGGCAGGATGGAGTCATGATTGCACAAGATCAAATGCATAGATTGAATGAAGAAAAGAAAGTGAAAGTTCCTGCTGGTTCTTTCGAGCTAGACACTTTTGTTGTCTCGAGCCACATACTTTTTTTTTTGAACTTTTCTCGAGCCACATACTTTACAGAAAAAAGGAAGACATAGGGTGTAACACATGTTTAAGTAATTGTAGAATTTGGGTAAATATAGCTGAATTTCTTCAATTATAAACTAGTTGGATTAGCTTAATTTTCAGTTCAAATGGAGTAAAAAATTGCAGAAAAAAACGAAAGTTGCTGATTTTCCAATTATACACCTTTTCTTTTTTATGTTTTTTTTTAATAGAATTTCTTTACATTTGACCAGTAATATCTGCACACCTCATCATTCTAGTGAATTTTGTGATTTTTACAAACAAGTTCATTCGTTATGACAAAACAAAACAAAAAAGCTCCTTCTTAAGAATCATATTATTAATTGGCAAGTAAGCTGTGATGTGGTTGAGAGTTATCATGACTGATTACCTTTTACCCCTCATGTAAATTTAAGTTAGTTATCCTTAATGAAAATTATAATTTAATTAACCAAATTTTAATTTAATTAACCAATTAATAATGTTATAATGTGCTAAAAGAAATAGAGATTAATAGTATTAAATATTTGTTGGGCTTGGATCAAATAAGATAGCCAAATTAAACTCTAGATTTATCGACTAATATTTTGGGTTTACAATTCTGCTACAAGTAATTATTAAAACTTATCGATATATTTTAAAAATAGAAAAAAATCAAAATAAAACAAAACCCTAGCTATAAAAATCTATAAATACACTCCATATTCAACGAAGCTGAAACTAATTTTGTGATTAGGTTTTTTGTTTTAGATTAGCAGAAGGTATTTCAAACGAGGAAGGAAAAGTGCAGTAATATATTTTACGATTCTTTATTCTGGTGTGAGTATATTTTGTCTAAGGTAGGCTCACTGAACAAGGTAGAGATTACTCTGCTTCAAAAATCTAGAATCCAAGATTAGCTTCTTCTTTTTTAAATATATGGTTTTTGCTAATGCTTTTTAGCATTTTTTTATTTATTGCAATGCGTTTGTGTTTTGGTCCATGTCTTATTTTTCTATCATGTAAATATGAATAAGTTGGGTTAGTAGTTAGTACAGAACCGCTTAATTATCCTTAGTGTTTTCTACTAGGAAACAAGACCATGGGAGAATTATTAGACGGCCAATATATCTCCGTTCACATTATAACTTCACTGTAAATTTTAACATTAATCATCTCAAACGTCATCAACCTAGATCAATTAAAAGGCTGGTACAAGAAAGACGATATGGTTGCCAAGTGGAAGAAGTTGAAAAATGGGCTGCGATCATATATTTATTGTTGTGTGAGTTTTTGCATGACGTGGCTGCAGAGCTTAGGAATTGCCTTTGGTTGTATTCTTCATGTTACTTCTTTCTTCTTCTTTTTCTTCTTAAATCTTCGGTTCTGTGTGTGTATTCTTTTCTTGGTGAAGGAAAACGGAAAAAAAAATCATCACGGCTTCTTGAGTTCAACTACTTCGATGAAATTGATTTGGCCTAAGTCTGTTTTTCTCTTATTTTATTTATGTTTCTTGGGAGATTACTTGTGCCTTCTCTTTTTTTTTTTAAGTGATTTAGGTTTCTTGAAGAGCACCCGATACTAAATACAACCTGCCAATGTTCAATTGTTCATACTTGAAAAATTAATGAGACCCTAGAGACCATTAGCTGTATAGAGAACCCCGTACCTCTAGCTGATTTTAATATCTGCAAGATGAAAAGTTTGTATAATTGGTAGTAACACAACCAATGCAATTTCCATGTTTATGAAATCTTGAATCAGATTGTTATGTGTTTCTTTATTATACTAATTTACTTAAACATGAGCTAGCATTGCAATAGATTAACTAAGCCACTACAAAAAAAAAAACACACCATATTTGAGGGAAAAATCTGTCGGAAAACCGTCGGAAACGGCTATTTCAAATGGTTTTCCGATGGATTTTACTATCAGCTATAAATCGTGAGAAATACATATGAACAAGAGTTGGTCGGAATATAATTTGGGAGTGATATTTAATGGTTATCATATTTATATTGATATTATGTGAATGTTTTTTTTTGGATAAATCGCATATATTATATTTAATTTATTTTAAAAATCTTTAATCTATTTTATGTTAAAAATTAATTTATCCGCACAAAGTGCTAAAAATCACCTAGTTACATATGTAAGGATCCTCTTTTCTTGTTATCTTTAATTTCTTTTATAATTATTAAAAAAGTAAATTTAACGGAGTTTTTTTTCTATTCATATAGAAATTAATATGTATTTTCAGTTATTTAGTTAAATTTTGCTAAGCAAATATATTTTTTGACAAATATAACTATATACTTTTAAAAAATTTAGTTATTTTGATTTAAACATAACTAATCTATTTATTTTATAATTATAATTTTATTTCAATTATTATTTATGGTAAGTCTAAATATAACTAATATTTTTAGGTATATAATTATATTTTAGATATTTTGGATATTCATTCGATTCTCAGTTTGGTTTTTATTATTACAATTCTTGATTTACTATTGTTTAATATATTGTCAAAAAAAAACAAATTGTTTGATATATTAAAACAATTTTATATTTTCACATAATTCATATTTTTTAATTATTTTAAAATATATTTTTCAACGATTACAAGATATCCTTTTTTACCTTTTACATTATTAGTTATTCAGCTAAATTCAGTTAACAATCATCTAAAAAAAAATTCCACCAAATTCAACAGTTACAAGTAATTAATCTTCCCATTGCATCAGGAGTTTGTACATAGAGACACCCTTTGAAGACGACATACATTAGTGTCCTCCTTAGACATGTCGAGATGTTGTGCCAGTCACCTCAAGAACTCAGCAATGATGATCTTAAAGAAGCTCCAATGGCAGCATCTTAGTTGGTAAATGCAGGATTAAGTGGATTGGTTAGAGAAGAACATCAAGTGATGCAAAAGAAGAATAGAGTACATAGTGGTGAGGCTAAGTTGCCAGAAATGGAGCAAGAGTTGCTGATTTGGAGAAAGAGAAAGCAGAGGTTGAAGCGGCCAAGATAGTACCTCTCTCATTCCGTGACTTTCTTTGATGTCTTGTTTGAGTTTTCAGGTTTTTCTTTTTGGTCTTGCTTTGTTTTCTGGTTTTCCATATGAGAGAGACTTGTGTCCCAAGTTATTTACCCCTTTTTTTTATTAAGAAGTATGGTTAAGATAAACTCTTCAACAGAATATTCTCATTACAAGATAACACTAAAACAAAGTGAAGTATTCTCATTGCAGGATATTAATCTTCACAAAAGAACAGAGACATCTGGATGATTATATACAGAAACATAAGCAAGCAGCAATTTGTCTAAACCGATACTTTATATATGATAACATTGGATTACATAAATTGAGAGGAATTTGATCACAGAGAACACAAAACACTTTTGGTGATCTCTCTCATCAGACATCACAAAACACTTTATCACTTGATTACTTTATAACAATTAGTCGATAGATCACCAAAAGTTCTAGTGAGCTAACATAAACTACATCCATAGGTTATCCAAAAGCTATGTGACTACTAAGAACTATCTTCATAAGACAACTCAAAAAGGATAACTTACCCTAAATGCTGCAATGGCTTCTTTATTCGGTCTCACATATCATTTGCTGCCTCTGCAAGCTTTGCTGAAAACCTAAACTTCTTGATATTCAAATTTGCTTCCTCAGCACATAACACTTTCCATTCATCACTCAACTCTTTTCTTTTCTCAGATCCAACGTTCATCAGCTTCTCAAGGTGAACCTTCTTTTGATAATCACTTAAACTTTGCGACATCGTGGCCTCAAATGCATCCCGCACAGCGCATGATTCATCAGCATCATCATCATTGCCATCATTTGCTGCCACATTCTCATTTAAAGGTTCAACATTAGCCATTTGCTCGTCCTCCTTAGGTGTCTCCTCCTGATTCAATAAACCAACCATATTACTAAACAATGTCCGAACCGTGAAAGAAAAGAAGAGAAACTCGTAAATGTCATTAAGCAAATAAAACAGAAACAGATTTGGACCATTGTGCTTACTACAAAGAGAGAGAGAGATGATTATAACAACACACAAAGCTGAACCAAAAAATTGATAACTTACACGAATCTTGTTCTGATGATTAACAAACTCATAATCATTTAGGCCCCAAATCATATTGGAATATTCAAAGGCTTTAGCGTCACTAGGCTTAGTAAAGACCGGCTCTTTCCCTTGATTGTTTTTCTCCATGTGAACAAAGAACTTCATTTTCATCTTCCTGATCTTACCCAAAAGCTGTTCCTTGGAGAATTTAGCAACAATGGAGTCTCCGATGAAACGATGATAAAAGTCATCCCAATAACTTTTTGCTTGGAAGCCTGCCTTAGCTCTATAATCCACTAATCCCTTTATATACACAAAAGAGTGAGAAATCAGAATGAATCATAATGCAATCAAGATTCGGTTGCAATCAAGAAACAGAACGAATCGCAATGCAATCAAGAAACAGATTGAATCGCAATGCAATCAAGATTCGCTTGCAATCAAAAAACAGAATGAACCACAATGCAATGAAGATTCGGTTGCAATCAAGAGTTATAATGAATCACAATGCAATCAAGAATATGAAAAACAAAAAAGGATGAACATAGAGAGAGAGAGACCTTTAGCACAATGAGCTCATCTTCTTCGTTCCAGATTCGGTTGCTCGACGGCGAAGCCAATTTCTTCTTCGTTTTCTGCTTCTCTGTCTCTTCTTCTGCTACTGCTTCGGAGACATGTTGCCGCGGGAATTTGTTTGGGAAGAAGTCAAGCGGCCTCAGAGCCACCATGGTCACAGTTTCTACACAAACTGTGTCTTGATCCTAAAAAAGTTAAAAACTGACATGCAAAAGAAAATTCTAATCAGTAATATCAATATTCACCAAATCGACGGCAAGCAATCCCGAATTTTCATGAATCTCCGGCGGAAAATAAAAAATCCGGGGAGAGAGAGAAACAAACCTTATTTCCAAATTTAGCGACTTGTGGAGTGTACTGGAGAGAAGAGGTGCCTTTCTTGCTAAATGTCAAGAAGCTTGACGGACCAAACCTTTTAAGGAATAAAAAAATTAATATTGTTTTTTTTGTCAGATTAAATCAACACAACAATAACTCATAAGTCTCTCTATGGCTTGACACATCGATATTTTCAAACTTTTAGGAGATGACACTTCAGCAAAAAAAACACCAATAAAAACATTTCATTAATACAAGTCATCAATTTATTTTAACTTTTAAATTTAAACTCATTAAAAACTCAAATATTTTTTATTGTTAATTTTAGTTTTATTTTTTGCTCAAGCCCAAGCCCAAATAATAAATAACAACAAATAAAAAAATATTTTTTTATTTTTTTAACAAACCCAAATAATAAATAACAACAAATAATAAAATTAAATCTTTCTTTTATATTTTTGCCAGACAGAAACTCAAATAATAAATAACAGCAAAAAAATTAAAATTTCTAACTATGTGTTTGCTTGATAGAGACGTATATGATTGAAGAAAGTGTAGACTCATCATCAACTATGCTTCCATAACAACAATGCAAACAGCATTATGGTATAAGAAGCTCACACATCAGCAAAAATTTGAACCAATAAAAACATAACAATAATACATATTATTAACACACTAACAAAATCAATTTACTATTTTGCTGACCCATTAAAAAGCCCAAAGTTTACAAAAAAAAATGGAAGGCAAAAGCAAATGAGGAGATTCTTGGGTTTGGCGGAAATAGAGAATATCTTGGTTTTGGTAGAAAAATGTGATTTTCAGTTTTGGTAGGAAAACATAGTTTTTCGGTTATGGCGGAAAAAACCGAATTCTCGGGTTTGGCGGCAAAATGTGAATTTTTGGTTTTAGTGAGAAATAAAAAATTTTATTTTGACGAGAAAATACGAGGGAAATGCAACTTTTTAATTTTTACGAAAATTACGATTTCTCGGTTTTGATAGAAAATGCAATTTTTCGGATTTTGATGGATAATTTAATTTCTTGATTTTTGCGGAAAATTGTAATTTGACAATTTTGGCAGAAAATGCAATTTCTCGGGTTGATAGAAAAGCAAAAGTTCTCAATTTTGGCGGGAATAAACAATTTCTTGGTTTTAATGGGAAATAAAAAATTTCAGTTTTTGACATATAATTTGATTTTTGGTTTTTGAGAGAAAATATGATTTCTTAGTTTTCGTGGGAAACGCAATTTCCCAAGAGATAATGCAATTTTTGGTTTTTGCGGAAAATTATAGTTTATCGGTTTTGGTAGGAAGGCGTGATTCTTGATTTGACAAGAAAAAAAAAATTTTCTTGTTTTGGTGGGAATAGACGATTTCTCGATTTTTGCGGGAAAATAATTTTTTGGTTTTGACGGAAAAATACTATTTTTTGTTTTTGCATGATGATGAAATTTTTTTGTTTTGGTGAAAAAACTTGATTTCTCTGTTTTGACGGAAAAACACAGGTTCTCGCGGGAAAATGTGATTTTTTTTTGTTTTTGAGGGAAAATGCAATTTCTTTGTTTTGGTAGGAAAATGAAATTTCAGGTTTGACGGAAAAATGAATTTTTTGGTTTTGGCAGGAATACGCGATTTCTCAGTTTCGTGGGAAATAATTTTTTTTTGTTTTGTCGGAAAATGCAATTTTTTATAATATGTTTATAGTAACCAAAATTGAATTATTTAACTTCAACTAAATTGATATTTCAACAGTTCAAATAGAACTTTCTATTTAGTTCTAAAGTAATAGTAATGATTTTGATATTAATGTTATTGATTATAGTTTGATAGTTTTAGAAACATATGTCTATAATAAATATTTGATAAATAGATAAATTTTATAATTTAAAATAATCATATTAATTAATATTTTTTTTAAATGGCAATTTGCTTTATATAATTTGAGGATCAAGTAGCAATTTAGTAGAGAAAATAAATTACATCTACCATTAGCTTGAAGGTACTTAAAGATGTATTGTTTTATTCTTACATATACATTTATAGATAGTTAGCTAAACAAATTTGATAGTAGATTATAATTTTAAAAAATAAAAAAATTAATGATATATAATATTTATTCAGATTTAAAACATATAAATACATAACTTAAGCTAATAACAAATAAATATATTACTCATCTAAAATATATAAATAATTTTATTATATTAAAAATATATACAAATCTAGAAAAATATCTCGCAGCGTAACGTGGGTAAATACCTAGTATTGTTGATTATTGGTAGTTTTCTGTGTAGTGCATGTAGGATTTCTACAAAATTGAGTATAGAAATCAACTAAACAAGAGTTTAATTTTTGTATATTGGTATTGATTAGGTAATTACCCGCGCTAAGCTGCAGAATATTTTTTTAAATTTTGTATATATTTTTTATATAATAAAATTATTTTTATAATATAAATGAATATTACATTATTTATTTTATTACTTTAAGTTATATATTTATATGCTTCAAATCTGAATAAACATTGTATATCTTTAATTATATTTTTAAAAATTATAATTTACTATCAAATTTGTTTAACTAACTAACTAAAAATGTATATGTAAAAATAAAATAATATATTTTTAAGTACATTCATGCTAATGGCATATATAATCTATTTTCTTCACTAAATTACCACTTGATCCTCTTTTATAATTATATAAAGCAAAATGCCACTTTAAAAAAGATATATTAATTAATATAATTATTTTGAATTATAAAATTTATTTATTAATCAAATATCTATTATAAACATATGTTTCTAAAACTACCAAACTACAATTAATAACATTCATATCAAAACCATTGCTATTGCTTTATAAATAAATAGAAAAATATGTTTGAACTATTGAAATATCAATTTAGCAAAAGTTAAATAATTTAATTTTTGTTACTCTAAACATATGGCAACTTGAAATTTTACCACCAAGAAATTTTATTTTCTTACAACACTGAAATATCGCATTTCCCGTTAAAACAAAAAAAAAAAATTATTTTCCTAAGAAAACTGAGAAATTGCATATTCCTGCCAAAACCAAGAAAAGTTATTTTCTCGTCAAATCAAAAATTTCATCTTCGCACCAAAACTAAGAAATTGTATTTTCCAGCAAAACCAAAAAATCACATTTTCCCGCGAGAACCAGTGTTTTCTGCCAAAATCGATAAATCAGATTCTCTCACCAAAACCAAAATATTTCACCTTCCTGCAATAACCGAAAAATATTTCCCGTCAAAACCGAAAAAAAAAATATTTTTCCACAAAAACCGAGAAATCGCTTATTCCCGTCAAAACCAAGAAATTTCATTTTTTTGTCAAACTAAAATTCATGTTTTCCCACCAAAACCGAGAAATTATATTTTCCCGCCAAAACCGAATATATGTTTTTTCGCGAAAATTAAGAAATCACATTTTCCCACGAAAACTAAGAAATTTCATTATCTGTCAAAAAATGAAAATTTGCATTTTTCATCAAAACTGAGAAATTGCTTATTCCCACCAAAACCGAGAAATTTCATTTTCTCTTCAAACCGAGAAATTGCATTTTCCGCCAAAATTGTCAAATTGTATTTTTCCATGAAAACTAAAAAATCGTATTTTTCCACGAAAACCAAGAAATCGCATTATCTGTCAACTTAAAACATACGGTTTGTGAGCTTCTTAAAACATACGGTTTTTTCCTTTGTTGTCATGAGAGCATAGTTTATGCTAGGCTTACATTTTCTTCAATTATACACATCTCTGTCAAGCAAACATGTAGCTAGACATTTTAATTTATAATTTGCTATTATTTATTGTTTGGGTTTGACAAAAATTAAAATATTTTTTTTGTTATTGTTTATTATTTGGGCTTGGGTTTGGAAAAAAATAAAACAAAGATTTTTTTATTTGCTGTTATTTATTATTTGGGCTTGGGTTTGGCCAAAAAATAGAATTAAAATTAACAATAGAAAATATTTGAGTTTTTAATGGGTTTAAATTTAAAATTAAAATAAATAAATGACTTGTATTAATAAAATGTTTTGATTAGTGATTTTTTTTTGCTGAAGTGTCATGTTTATAAAGCTTAAAAAGCTGAGGTGTCATCCCTAGGAGAGACACTTGTGTTATTGTTGTATTGATTAGTACTAGTAGACAAGGTTTTAATCAAAAATTCAAAGTTTTGTTCTTGTGTCAATTTTTGGAGTTTCTTGATATAAACATTATCAAGGTATCTAGAAAATCTATTATTTTTTCAATTTAGAGGATTGTGATCTAAAAAGTCCCACCATTTTTCTTTCTTTCTTGGTGTTTGTTCTCTAAGATGATAGATACTTCAACATACTTCATCAAGTAAGGTCAATAATCATCTTTACTAGTGAACTAAACTTTGTTGATCTTGTGAAAATAAATGTTTGTGGCCTAGAAAAGCCCATGTCTTTCTCCAACATTATATGCATAAACTTATCTATTCTTGATACTTAAAATATGAAATCAATACATCAATAACCCTTGTGTCTCTCTTGAAGATGACACATCAGCTTTTCCAATCTTTGAAAAGCTAACACATCAGCAATTACAAGAAAGCAATCAAATTAAAACATTAATCACATCAACCATTTTATTTAAATTAATACACATTAACCATGTTATTTATAAAAGTCCAAAAAGTAAAAGGAATAATATATGTTCATCTACAAACTCAATTAAGAGACACTTACATAAAAAAGCACTTTTATCACTTGTCTTACAAAAAAAAAAGCACTTTCCCCAACAAGAGTACTTTGCTTGTACGTTTACCCATTTTTCACATGTGTTTTATCTAGTGTGTCCTTAATAAAACCATCATTTTTCTCTTTTGCCATTTTCACTTTTTTCTCTCTCTTTTGTAGTTTCTATTTTTCTTCTTCTTTTCATCTTTTCGCAGATACATCTATAAAATAAAATTATCTATAAGGATGGTGGAATAAGTGTCAATAGTGGATAGGTTGGATATCATTTCTAAGACAAACCACCATCCACAAATGTATGTCCATTTTTACATATCCATGTGTACATTCTAATATCTATACATCTGAAACATATGGTTCCTATATGAAAATAAGCTTAGTTGAATGTCTGAATTTGGTACGTAATATGTTGGTATGGATGGTAATACGTGGATATCATATCATGGATAGTCTTAGCGGAAGAGTAATTGAGAAAGGTAATTTTGAGTCTTTCAAAGCATATAGATTTGTTTATCTATTTCTACCATTCCATATGTGAGCATCAATATGTACAACCATCAGACATGTGTAATACTAAGTTCATTTTCGACATGTCTAAAACTAAGCTTAAAGATGAATGATTGCATTTGGTATGTATTAAGTTGGCGTGGATAGTAAAACGTGGATATAACAACGCGGATAGGAATGGATGAGTAAATAAGAAAGATAACCGTAGACATATATATGTGTTAAAGACACATCTTTATTCATCCATTTCAACCATTTCATATGTGAATATCCACATGCACAACCACTAGACGTATTTTATACTAAGTTTAACCTCGAGATGTCTAAAACTAAGCATAGAGATGAATGTCTGAATTTGGTACGTATTATATTAGCATGGATGGTAATCCATGGATATAATAATACGGATAGGCTTAGTAGAAGACTAATTAAGAAAAATAATTGTGGGCATAAATATATAATAAAACACATATTTGTTCATCCATTTTAACCATCCCATATGCGAGTATCCACATGTACAACCACCTGACATGTACTATACTAAGTTCAGCTTCGATATGTCTATAACTAATTTTAAAGATGAATGTCTAAATATTGTGCATCTATTCTACTATATCCATATACAGAAATCTACATGGCATATCGATATAGGTTTTGTCCATCCAGTTCGAAGCATCCACGAATAAGAACATCACATATACTTTTTTATTCAACTTTGAACTTATGTTATATTGAATCTTGGTAAATATTTTAGTTTTGGTTTCTAAAAGGGGAGAGAGAAAGAAAGAGAAATATACAAAGAAAGAGAAAGAGAAAGAGAAAAAGAGAAAAAAAGAAAAAGGTTAATATTGTCATTTCAATAAATCAAAGTACCTACTTGCACAAAGTACCTACTTGCACAAAGTATCCTTTTGTGTAATTATACTTTGGAAAAGTGTTCTTTTCTGTAATATTCTCCTCAACTAAACGAACGCATCTAAACCAAACACGTGAAAATACACTTATTCGAATTAAAGAACACAAAGGACATGTCGCGAAATCTTGATAATTCTTCTAAACACCGACCAAGTGTCCACCGTTGACGATTCTTTGCCGCCGAGAAACACCATCGTTTATCGCCAAATCTGGGTACCAAAACGCATCACTCCGAGTATCCTACTACAGAAAATCACTGATGATTCCGTGGAAGAGATCTTCCAAGATTGCCGCCAGATTAGCTTAATTTTCCACTCCATACGAGAAGCTCCGCTGAACAGCCTAACGAAGAGGCCCCCAATAGAGTGAGTGAAGATATTACTCCCGCCATGAACAAAGAGAATCAAGCCTAACAGAGAGCTGGCGAACTTAGGCAAAACCAATCGGATTTATAGGTGAAAACAGATTTGCAAGAGGAAGATAACAACATCGAGGATTTCAAATCACTGGACCGTGTTTTGTGTTTTATATCATACGATTTACTCTATTGTTTCATACAATTTCAGAAGCGTTTCCATGTTTCCTTTTCATGGGTTTCAATCTAGCCTTCTAGGTAGATAACTATTTTGGGTATTTGGGACTTTTGATCCATGAATTTACAACTTAGGTGGTGTTATTCCTCTTGGTTTGATTTCATTGATGATCAAAGCTTGATTATCTTCTTAAATTTCAGTTGCTTGAGACTGTGTATGAGATAAGATAAGCTGCGCTTTTGTTTATTTTTTCGGATATAGAGGTACATAAATCATTTAATTTGTAAAAACCAAAACGGAGAGGGGTGAATATTACTATTGAAAACCTTGGCAATGAGCACAAGACAGCTAAACATCACGAAAAGATTCAAAACATTAAAGTCGGTCTCGTCCTCTGCTGAGCCGATTTCCAGGTAACCACATGGATATTAGTTTTCTAGGAAAATTTTTTTTGCTACAAAAAATCTTTGTCACTCAATCGGTTCCCATTAATGTAGAATAAGTTAGAAAACATGAGCTGCTTTCAGTTAAGGTTATTTATTAATTTTTGCAAGTTTATGTTATCATATCTCTCTAAAATATACTTTTGACGTTACAACAGTAAAACACTGCTATATTTGTGAGAATGGTTCCATATTAACAATTAGAATCCAGATTTTTGTACATGATCTCCATTCATCCCTCTATTTCATTGGTTTAGCTTCTGGAGTCTTTAAATTTCTATGATGTAGTTTTATGTCATTTAGTTTATACACTTTATAGTACTTTATCCTGCATACAACCGCAGGTGCAAAGATGTGGCAAGACACAGCAGAGAAAAAATAGATGGAAGATCAGTACATCAAATAAAAAGGGAAATACTAAAAAGTATCCGTTTATCCAAAATTTATCGATTATATTGTATATTCAGTTGCAATAACATGAGACTCTATAGTTTTCTCAAAAATCTTTATATTGTAGAAATGTATTTAATATTCAAAAGTATGTTATTAATTTAATATATATCTTTTACTGGTGTTCTTTGTTTTCATTTTGTTATGCATGTCTTCGGTTTTGTTTATAGAGTGGCATCTTTTAATTAACATAGTTCCAAATTTCAGTGATCTATTCCAAGTTTAAAGTCGCAATACTGAATCCATAGGACAAATTGGGTGAGAGAACTCCATTCTATCTAACTTCTTGAGAGGATTACAAGTTTACATTGCACATTTAGGCAACAACATCAAGCTTGAAAAGCCTAATTGAATAAATTTTTACAGGAGTAATCATGATCATAAGTTGAAGTTTCTGAAGAATATATCAAGTTTTAATATGCTAAATAGCAAAGATTAATGATAAAGTGTAAGCCTTACTTGGAAAGAAGGGATATGTTTTTTAAAATGAATCTTTTCATTTTTTCAGCCATTTTCTTGTTTTATGGCAAAAAAAAAAAAAAAAAAAAAGTTCGCAAACTATGTTTCTCCAACTTATCTTAGTAACAAGAAAGGATGAAATTATATTAAAAAAATATTTATCGAATAATATTAAAAGAAAATTGATCATAAAAGAGAATAAAAAGATAAAAAATAATCTGCAAAGATTGAAAAAAACAAAATTTTGATGTCAAAAAAAATAGTAAAACATATAATTGTATTTTACAAATTTTATATAATTTATTCATGATTTAAATCCATAAGGGTTTTGCGGAACCTCAGTCCTGCTTTCCAATTTTATAATAACGAAAATATTCAGCAAATAATGCATAGTTCCTAGAGAAATTGAGGATTTATTCATAATATCAATTTTTCTCGGAGGGAAATTCAGTTAGATGCAGATTTTATAGGGAGAAAGTTACTTCCGCAATCTAAGGCAGACAAGATCAAAACTATGCTAAAAAAATCTAAAGATATTGGTTCAATATGGATGCATAAGATATTAATTTGATAAAAAAAACTATGAAATTAGTTTAGACAAAATATATATAATCTATAAAAAATACTGCTATTTTTATAAATTCAAGTAGTGTACTCCAAATTTAAATCTTGAGATGCTAATTGGAAATATTTTATTATTTATCAAAATAATATAAATTATAAATAAATTATTTTTATAATATAGTATCTGTAGTGTAGTGCGGATTTAAACCTGATTATAATAATAACTTTAACCAACATGAAATAAAGAAACCAGAAATGCATGATATAGTCTCTAAATAGAGTCTGAAACACATTGATGTCACAATTCACAACCCCACATAGAAATTTCAATGAAGAATGACGTAGGTGAAGCTCTCTAATAAATGAGAGATGATAATCTTGATAGAGATAAAAGGTGTAGCAAGCATTCATCTTTCTTCATTTCTTCTTCTTCAAGATCAGACTTCTCAGCTTTCCACACACATTAAAATTCTCAACATCGGGCAGAGCATCATTCATGGCATTTCTTAGATTCTTATCATCTTTAGCATCATAGAAGCATTTACGCTTCTTCGAGTCCCTTATGAGTTTTGCCCAAATCGAACCACTTCGAGCCAAAGTCATCTCATTCCCAATTACCCATAAACAGTGCCTTGCACGAGTCAGTGCCACGTTGGCTCTTTGACGCTTACTGAGAAACCCAACTTTTCCGTTACCGTTACTTCTAACGGTAGAGATGATGATACCGTCTTCTTCTCCTCCTTGAAACCCATCCACGGACCGAACATTCAAAGTGAAAAGCTGATCTGATATGGAACTGTACTTATCTCCGATTCTCTCTTGGATTGCTCTGACTTGTCCTTTGTATGATGAAATAACTCCAACGCTCATCTTCATCCTTCTCTCACTTGAAACTGTATTCCAAAATTAAAAAAAAAAGAATAAAGAAACAGATTAATATTAGTAACTTGCAGATCAAGAAAGATGATTATACCTTTGAAAAGATTGGATATGATTTCAGAAATCACAGAAACTTCAACCATATTCTTGGGACTATGTCCATCACCAAACTCTTCTTTTCCACGACCAACATTGATGATGGAGAAAGAACCAAACATGTTTCCTTTAAGATACCTCTTTTGATGATTGCTTTCTTGAACAATCGAAGCATCTTTGATCAAACCTCTATAAAACTCCCTGTTAGGGAAACGGCTTATCGAAGGATGCATTCGATACTGAACATTAAGCAAATGTTTGTCATGACCAAGCAGAACCAATCTCTCAAACAAGCTTCTTCCAAATTTCGCCTTCTCACATATCTGCCGCATTGTTCTCAAGGGATTCAGAGAAAATACTATACTATATATTGCTTTGAAAAAGACACTTTTTTGTATGATTAGAGAGAGTACCTCGCTGCACCATTGCTGGTAACTGACGCTCATCTCCTATTAGAATAGCGTGACCCAGTCCCTGAAGCTGCAATGCAACAATTGATTCACATTCTTTAAGCTGAGATGCCTCATCAACAACAAGCAGTTCTATATCTCCTGTTATTTCCGCATTCATTTCTGCAGCACCTGAGGCTGTGCAGAAGATTATATGGGCGTTTTGTAGACAAAATTTCCTAATATCTTCGTTTTCCATCAAGTCTGGAATCTCAAAACGTTTTGGCAGTAAACGTAGAGCCTGAAGGAGTCTGTTGAAGCAATCATCTTTGAGACTTCCCTTCTTGAAATCATCTCTGGAAAAATTCTCTTGCAAGAAATATCTAACGCTTTGAAGAGCTTCACTGGCTGCGATAATTTGCTTCACATGTTGAGATGAAATGAAAGACTTGGGAAGATGTGTGTACAAATTAACAATATCTTTCTCCAGTTCTTCGCTTAATCCATTGAAACAATTTCTTACAAACTCTCCAAATGTAGGAATCTTTACAACTTCTTGCTTCTTATTTTCAGCTTCTTCATTCTTCCTTTGAACTTCTTTCTTCTTCTTTTTAACTTCTTGTTTCTTTCTTTCAACTTATTTTAATTCATGAACATATCTCTTGTACTTAGCCTTTGTGTTCTCAAGAAAACCTATTATCGACTCTAAACTCTGCTTCCATCCATAAGATGGTGAAAACAGTTTACCGAGTTTACTGATGCGATGATCAAGAAATTTAGGATCACCAACTTTTTAGATAATTTATGGGCCACATATACAAAGAAATTATATTTATTGAGCCACAATATTAACAAACTTATGTTTTTAAATATTAAAAATATAAAAAAAGAAATTTTTGCTTTGACCACTAAAATAGTTGGACTGGCCAACGTACCAAATTATTTGGCTAAACAATACTCTGGATGAGATCAAAGTTGGGAGCTTCCTGGTGCAAATCATTCCATATACGATTGTTTCTAGTTGAAATTCATAAGAAAAACACCGAAACCAAGTGAATTTTTCTCATCATGTGATATCAATCTTGACAAAAGAACAGAGATATTTGAATGATTTTCAACGACAGAGACTAGGCAAGAAGCAATGGGTTTAAGTCATGGAAACTTCTTGGTCTTGCCTTTGTGAGAGCAATGAGATCTCCACATTGTGGTTTGTACTTTGCATCCTCTGCATCCTTTAGTTTTAAATAGTGTAACAAACTGCTGCAGCTTTCACTCGATTCCTTTTTCCTTTTCTCCCACGACTCTATATGAAAGAGAGGTGCTTTTGATAAAGAATTGAAGCTAGAGAACAAAGCTGTTCGCGTTTCCTCGAGTAGATGAGGAACAAAACATTTAAAGTATTAATCGATGGAACTAATCCTGTCTGGTATTGTCTTTGTCTGTTACACAAAAACCATTGATTACATAAGTACCAAACGATGTCATCATGTCAACTTAAGAAAGAGTGTTAAAAGAGATGGAAACCTTTTGCTTGAAGAGACTTTTGTTGAGAATATCTTTGAGAGACCAAGAAATTATTCTATCAACTAGACTAGTTTTCTCCTTTCTTTCCATAATCCACAAAGAGCTTTCCTGCACCATTATAATAGAGAACGAGCAAAAAAAAAAAAAAAGGTGCATGAAAACAAGAACCAAAACCCGACTTATGTTCAAAGCTATCTAAAGATGTAACTTATATTACAAGGCAAGAATAGTGAGTGCTTGCAAGAACTGACTGATGTAGAAAATCAACAAGTAGGGAGTGCAACGACAAGTTTGGAGATGTATTTTAATTTGTTTGGTCTACGCAAGGTCCATACATAATTGTATACCATGCATATTTTTATCCACTAAATATTGTATGGACCTTTCGCTTTTCCAAATTAGAACTTTAACTATCACTAGGTATTTATCCGTGCTACGCTGCGGGATATTTTTCCAGATTTTGTATATATTTTTAATATAATAAAATTAGTTTTATAATATAAATGAGTACTATATTTATTTTTTATTAGCTTAAGTTATGTATTTATATGTTTTAAATCTGAATTTATATATCTTTTTTTAAAAAAATATATATAATCTACTATCAAATTTGTTTAGCTAACTATCTATAAATGTATATGCACGAATAAAACAATACATTTATAAGTACATTCATGGTAATGGCAAATGTAATTTATTTTCTCTACTAAATTGCCACTTGATCTTCCTTTGAAATTATATAAAGCAAATTGCCATTTAAAAATATTTATTAATTAATATGATTATTTTAAATTATAAAATTTATTTATTTATCACATATTTATTATAAAGATATGTTTCTAAAACTACATTGAACAAAAAATAATTGTTTCTAAAACTACCAAACTATAATCAATAACATTCATATCAAAATCATTGCTATTATCAAAATCATTGCTATTGCTTTAGAACTAAACAGAAAGTTTTGTTTGAACTGTTGAAATATCAATTTAGTTAAAGTTAAATAATTCAATTTTGGTTACTTTAAACATATTGTAACTTGAAAATTTAGCACAGAGAAAATTTATCTATTTACAAAAACCGAGAAATTGTATTTTCCAACAAAACAAAAAAAAATTTATTTTTTTACGAAATTGAAAAATCGCCTATTCCCGCCAAAACAAAAAAAAATCATTTTCTCGCCAACACTGAAATTTTATTTTTCTACCAAAAAAAAAGAAATTGTATTTTCCAGCAAAAACCAAAAAATCATTTTTTTCCCGCGAGAACATGTGTTTTCCCGCAAAAACAGAGAAATCAAATTTTTTTCACCAAAACCAAAAAATTTCATCTTCCTGCAAAAACCAAAAAATCATATTTTTCCGTCAAAAATCGCCTATTTCCGCCAAAAAAAAAAAAAATCTTGTCAAACCAAGAATCCGCATTCCTACCAAAACTGATAAACTACAATTTCCCGCAAAAACCAAAAATTACATTATCTCCTGAGAAATTGCGTTTCTTGCGAAAACCAAAAAATCACATTGTATGTCAAAAAACTGAAAATTTGCATTTCCCATCAAAACCGAGAAATTGTTTATTCCCGCCAAAATCGAAAAAAAAAATTCCATCAAACCGAGAAATTGCATTTTCCGCCAAAATTGTCAAATTACAATTTCCCGTAAAAACTAAGAAATCACATTTTCCCGCAAAAATTAATAATCATATTATCCATCAAAAGCCGAAAATTTGCATTTCCTATCAAAATCGAAAAATTGTATTTTTTCATCAAAATTGAAAAGTTGCATTTCCCTCGCATTTTCTCGTCAAAACTAAGTAGGGATTATTGGTTCTTATATTTTGATGGATTTAAAAATCTTATTTGGATTTGATAAATTTATTAATTTCAAAATCAGCAATATAGAAAAAAATCAAATCCACTCAAATACCAAGGTTAGACCTTGTATTTGGATCTTTGTATTTTAGTCATGAAAATCCTTCCAAATCTATTCAAATTCAGTTAAAACTTAAATCTTTATAATTTTGAAATTTTAAAATTATAGAATCAATAACACTGTATTTCATTATGGATTTTAAAATTATAGAATCAATAACACTGTTTTAAAATACAAGAACCAATAACACTGAATTTGGTTTGGATTTTCAAATCCATTAAAATACAAAAACCAATAACACCTCCTAAGATATTTTGTTTTCGCGTCAAAATCAAATTTTTTGTTTTCTCACCAAAATCAAAAATTCACATTTTTCCGTCAAACCCGAGAATTCGTTTTTTCCGCCATAACCGAGAAAGTAGGTTATCCTACCAAAACTTAAAATCACATTTTCCTACCAAAACCAAGAAATTCTCTATTTCCGCCAAACCCAAGAAAATTTGTTCTCAGTAACCACCGGAAATGCGAATCTTCAAGCTGTGGTGGTCTGAGCTTCTCCTCATTTGCTTTTGACTTCTATTTTTTTGTAAATTTTAGGCTTTTTAATGGGTCAGCAAAATAATAAACTGATTTTATTAGTGTGTTAATGATATGTATTATGTTTATGTTTTTATTGATTCAAATTTTAGCTGACGTGTGAGCTTTTTATAACATAACGCTTTTTGCGTTCTTGTTATGGAAGCATAATTAATGATGAGTCTACATTTTCTTCAATCATATACGTCTTTATTAAGCAAACACATAGTTATAAATTTTAATTTTTTTTTGCTGTTATTTATTATTTGAGTTTCGGTTTGGCAAAAATATAAAATAAAATTTTAATTTTTTTATTTGTTGTTATTTATTATTTGGATTTGGAGATGGTAAAATAATTTTTTTTTATTTCATGTTATTTATTATTTGGGCTTGGGTTTGGCAAAAAAAAAAATAAAGATTAACAAAGAAATATGTGGGTTTTTAATGGGTTTAAATTAAAAATAATAAAAGTTAGTAGATGATGTGTATTAATAAAATATTTTGATTGGTAAATATTTTTGCTGAAGTGTCATCTTGAGAAAGCTCTAAAATGCTGAAGTGTCATCTCTAGAAGAGACATTGATGTTATTGTTGTATTGATTTTAAACCCCTTTTTTTGTTAAAATCATTTTATCATTGTAAACCTTTAATTCGTTGTATCGGTTCCGATTTTAATATCTCGACCTTTCTTCTTCCCCATGCGATATCGAAAATCTCATTACAGTTGAAATGTTGAATTAATCTCTCGTTAAATAAAAAATAAAAAGGTAATCATTTAATGATATATATAAGCTCTCTATGACTGTATGTAAACTTTACGCATGCTAAGTGTCATCTTCCGTTCATTGACCACGGCAAATTTAAATTTGAATAAATTAAAAAGAAATTTTGAATCCCATTAACAATATTTTTCTTGGAAATTGTTAAAAAAAAATTGAGATCATTTCCAAAGTCTGCTTTGGACCTTTTGGCTCCTTCTTCCTTCTTCCTTTTAAGTAGACCAAACTGATCGTTAGTCTACTTCAGATTTCGTCTTCTTCTATTGTTTCTTCTTCTAGAGTTACTCCCTACTTGTCATTCTTTTTGCTTGCCTTGTAAGCTAAGGTTCTCGTTGTTGTTTTGATGATGAACTATCTTAACGAAAGAAGAAGGGTCATGGAACCGAACGAGAAAATAAGTCTCACCGGTAGAATATTTTCTTGGTCTATCAAAGACATACTCAACAGGGATCTCTACAAGAAACAGGTTTTGACCTTTTTTTTAAACTTTTTTTCAATAGCTTTAATACATTATATTACTCATCAACGATGTATTATTTTATTTGTAACAGATAAAGACAATACCAGATAGATTTTCATCTGTTGACGAGTACCGCCAGTGGTTTGTTCCTCATCTGCTAGAGGAAACGCGAACCGAGCTCTTCTCATGCTTCAAATCTTTATCAAGATCAACTGTTTTTCAAATACTTTCTGTGGAGGGAAAGAGTGGAAGTTCATCAAACGAGTTGCTGTACGATATAGAAATCAAGGACGCAGGTACTATTAATGCAAAGTACAAGCCGAAATGTGGAGATCTTATTGTTCTCACAAACGAAAAGCCAAGACGAATCGATGACTTGAATCCCTTACTTCTCGCGTACGTATACTCTGCTCATGGTGATCATACAATCTCTGTTCGTTCGACTAGATCGATACCTCATGTTGATGCATATTCAAGTCGCTCATCTCAACTATTCGGCGTTCTCCTCATGAATTTAACAACAAACACTCGAATTTGGAACGCTTTGCACAACGAAGCTGCTAATCCAACTCTAATCAAGAGTGTTCTTCAGAAAAATTCTTTGGTTAGTGCTTAAAAAATAATCTTCTTTGCTTTTTTTTGTATATGTTGAGTTACTTTGCATTAGATGGATTCATGATACTTGATGTCTCTGCTGACTAATGACCTAGTTATATTACTTGTGTTGCAGGCTACTGAACAATGTTTTTGTTGTCGAAATGATGTTAATTTTTCTGATTCCCACCGTGTATTGGAGATGATCCGTTCAGCCGAATTGAACTCTTCACAAGAAGCTGCAATTTTGGGATGCCTTAAGACAAGGAATTGTAATCACAAGAACGATGTGAAGCTGATATGGGGACCTCCTGGTACAGGCAAAACAAAAACTGTGGCGACTCTTCTCTTTGCCCTTCTCAACCTAAAGTGCAAAACAGTTGTGTGTGCTCCTACAAACACAGCTATTGTAGAGGTAATATCAAGGGTCTTGTCCTTGTTTAAGGAGAATTCTGCATCAGAACATGCTACATACGGTCTGGGGGATATTGTCTTATCTGGAAACCGAGACAGGATGGGGATCAACAAGAAAGATCATGTTCTTCTCGACGTGTTTCTTGATGAGCGTATTACTAAACTTGGACACTTGTTTGCACCATTTTCTGGATGGAAGCAGAGATTAGAGTCGATGATAAACTTTCTTGAGAACACCGAGGCTAGGTACGAGCAATATGTAATTGAGTTCAAAGAAGTTGAAAAGACGAAGGCAGAAGCTAAAATGAAGGAGAAGCTTGACGATCTAGACTTTCCTACAATTTTGGAGTTTGCCAGAAATAGGCATCTGTACAGAGAGACAGCGTACGACCAATTTGTAGATAAGTTCAAAGAGGATGAAAGGAAGAAGGCCGAAGCTGAAATGAAGAGCAAGCTAGACGTTATAAATATTCCTACATTCGGAGAGTTTGCAAGGATGAAGTTTAATGGCACAAGTGAACTCCTGGAGTCAGATATGGTTGATTTGTACACTCACCTTCCCAAGTCTTTCATTTCATCCTACCAAGTTGAGAATATGATCGCAGCACAACAAGCTCTTCAACGTGTTAGGTACTTCTTGCGGGCGGATCCTGATTTCAAGAAAGGAAGTTTCAGATACGATTGCTTCAACAGAATCATCAGTGATGACTGCCTTCAGGCTCTACGTTCACTTCCAGAACGTTTTGATATTTCAGACTTGTTGGAAAACGAAAACGTTAGGACGTTTTGTCTACAGAAGGCGCATATAATCTTCTGCACAGCCTCTGGTGCTGCTGATATGAGTGCTGAAAGGACAGGAGTTATAGATCTTCTTGTGGTTGATGAGGCTGCTCAGCTTAAAGAATGTGAATCAGTTGCTGCATTGCAACTCTCTGGTCTTCGTCATGCTGTTCTTATAGGAGACGAGCTTCAGTTACCGGCAATGGTTCAAAGCGAGGTACTCTCTCTCTCTCTCTCTCTCTCTCTCTCTCTCTCTCTCTCTCTCTCTCTCTCTCTCTCTCTCTCTCTCTCTCTCTCTCTCTCTCTCTCTCTCTCTCTCTCTCTCTCTCTCTCTCTCTCTAACCAATGTATACTATGTGGCAGATGTGTGAAAGGGCGAAATTTGGAAGAAGCTTGTTTGAGAGATTGGTATTGCTTGGCCATAACAAACACTTGCTTGATATTCAATATAGAATGCATCCTTCGATAAGCCGTTTCCCTAACAGAGAGTTCTATGGTGGGAGAATCAAAGATGCTTCTAATGTTGAAGAAAGCATTTACCAAAAGAGATATCTTCGAGGAAACATGTTTGGTTCTTTCTCGTTTATCAATGTTGGTCGTGGAAAAGAAGAGTTTGGTGATGGTCATAGTCCCAAGAACATGGCTGAAGTTGGTGTGATATCTGAAATCATATCCAATCTTTTCAAAGGTATATAAAATCTTTCTTGATTTGCAAGTAAGTATTATTCTTTTTGATTAATATTCCTTTTTAATTTTGGAAACAGTTTCAAGTGAGAGAAGTATGAAGATGAGCGTTGGAGTGGTTTCACCTTACAAAGGACAAGTCAGAGCAGTCCAAGAGAGGATCGGAGATAAGTACAGTTCCTTATCTGATAAGCTTTTCACTTTGAATGTTCGGTCTGTAGATGGGTTTCAAGGAGGAGAAGAAGATGTTATCATCATCTCCACCGTTAGAAGTAACAGTAACGGAAAAGTTGGGTTCCTCAATAACCGTCAAAGAGCCAACGTGGCACTGACTCGTGCAAAACACTGTTTGTGGGTGATTGGGAACGAGACGACTCTGGCTTTGAGTGGTTCGATTTGGGCGAAACTGATGACCGAGTCGAGGACACGTGGCTGCTTCTACGATGCTAAAGATGAGAGTAACCTAAGAGATGCGATGAATGATGCTTTGGTCGAGGATGTTTCTTCGATTTTTGGATCTCTTTCGATCAGAAATGGGAGAAGAAACGTTTGGTAGAATGTTTTCATCTTTGTTTTTGTTTTTTGTTTTTTCTCTCTATGAAAACTCTGTTATTGGATTTACGATTTCCTATGGTATTTTAATTATGATTTTCAGTTTACATTTGTGATTCGCTTTAATTTTATAGTCCAAACCTTTTCTACCGAGTGTTTGAAAATTCACGAAAATGGAAATATTCTGAACTCGGTTTGTTGTTAAGTTTGAAATTTGGTTTACTCTTGTTATGTGAAAAAAAAAAATGGTTTATTTAAAACTTTTTTTTACTGATTGCTTGAAAATAAATGAAATTGGAGATATTCTGAACTGGCTTCTTGTTAAGTTTGAAATATGTATTTACGGAATAAAATAACCAATCCAAACTTAAATTTCTAATCTGAAATTCAACCTAGAATTGTGTATAAACCGACCAGTATTCTTTATTTCTTTCAACCATGGTTATTATATTAAAAAAAAAGTAGATTTAACCCAAATATAAACCAGATCGAAATTTAACTAAAGTAATAACAAACCCAATAATTCCCCAAAAAAATAACAATTGAACCGAAATCAAACTATAACCGGATTGATCACTCCATATAATACGACACCGTTTTGTACCATTTGGTTTGACTTTGACCAGTTATTCTTTTCGTAAGTGAAGCAGAACAGAGTGGGAGAGGAGTAGTAGAAGATATTTAAATATCTTACGAGATCTCACTTCTTTCATTCCAAAAAAGAAAAGAAAAGAGAAAAGCATCCATGGCGATTGCCGAAGTTTTGCCTAAAGAGTACGGATATGTCGTCATCGTCGTCGTCTTCTACTGTTTCCTCAATTTCTGGATGGGTTTCCAAGTCGGCGGAGCTCGCAAGAGGTTTCCACAACCTTTTTAAATCCACTTTTTGTTGCTTTTTTCGCGTTTATTTTTCGCCTAAATCTCGACATTCCTCCACATCTTATTCGCTTATAGTTGTTCATCTCTGTCTTTCGTGTTGTTACTTCTCTGAATCCTTGTTCGATTAGATCGATCCAGATCGAGTTCTTTCGCTTTTCGTGCTTATGACTGAGTTATATAATCTCTGAGAACTGGATTCGATTTTTGATGATAGAGAGATGTAAAAAATGCAGGTACAAAGTTCCTTATCCAACACTATACGCAATAGAATCAGAAAACAAAAATGCTAAGCTCTTCAATTGCGTTCAGGTTTCAGATCTTTTCACCTTTCAGATTCTATCTGTTGCCAATTTTTAAGATGTGAGCTCAGAAATCAAAATTTGGGGGTTGCAGAGAGGTCATCAGAATTCTCTAGAGATGATGCCAATGTACTTCTTGCTCATGATCCTCGGTGGGATGAAGCACCCTTGTATCTGCACAGGCCTTGGCTTGCTCTACAACGTAAGCAGATTCTTCTACTTCAAAGGCTATTCCACTGGAGATCCTATGAAGCGCCTCACCATCGGGTTTGTTCTTTCTCTTCTCTTTTTATGTTTTTAACAAGTTAGAAGCTGCAGTGGCGTAACCGTAAGGTTGATAGTGATATTGAACTGGATAGTCTGATCATCTTATAGTATAGTAAACATAACTAAAGGAACCAAAACTACAAAATTTGGCATGCATATAGATGTGGGGGATTCATAAGCTTGTGTTGAGTATCTCTAATATGGCATGATCAGTTACTTGGTTTCTCTTTGATACCCCAAATTTTCTATTATCAACTGTGTTTAAGAAGATACTTAAACTCTCATGGCTCAGCATTTTTGGTTCTGTCCTTCGACTTTGGGGACTTAGCGTTTTACATCTTTGTTCTTATCATGCAAAGATTGAATCTTCAACACTTCGAAACATATTAAAGGAACCAAAACTGCAAAATTTGGCATGCATAGATGTAGGGATTCACAAGCTTTGAATTAGTTTCTCTTTGATATATTTAAATTTTGGTGAACAAGTGAAGTTTACTGTATTTTTCTTTTCTATTACCAACTGTTGACGAAGATACTTTTACTCTATAGTTATGTTTAGTTAAGAACTACAGTTAATAGCTGCAATGGAGAAACATAAGATTGATAGTGATACTGAACTCGATAGTCTGATCTTAGAGTATAATAAACATAACTAAAAGAACCAAAACTGCAAAATTTGGCATGCATAGATGTGGCATGATCAGTGACTTGGTTTCGCTTTGATAGCTCAAATTTTCTATTACCAACTGTTGAAAAAGATATTTAACTCTCATGGCTCAGCTCTGTTGGTTCTGTCCTTCTACTTTGGGAGCTTAGCTTCTTACATCTTTGATCACATCATGCAAACATTGAATCTTAAACACTCCAAGTATTCAATAAGGTATACAAAACTTGAATTTAGCTGATAACATGTACAGTACTATAATAATAACATGACTACTTATTGTTATTATTATGACAACTAGAGATCAAACTGTTTGATACGGTTTTTATGTTCCTCAGGAAGTATGGCTTCGTAGCAATGCTAGGTCTTGCCGTCTGCACAATCTCGTTTGCTATTACTCTTCTTCGCGGCTGAGCTTTTAGACATCTTTTTGAGATAACGGTTCATTGAATTCGTTTCATTGCCGTCTCCACAATCTCGTTTGCTATTATTAGGTTGTTGCTTTGGTTTGTGACTCGACAGTTCGTTTCTACAGTTTTTATAGGTTTAAAAATGATAAGAGACATAAATCTGTTTACTTTCTCCGCATCATAAAGGTTTTAAATTGTTACCAAAACTTTGTAGTTTTGTTAGTTTCATTACTGAATGCGATCAGTCACAAGGTTTAAGATTAAAAGAGCCAATTCTAATCGATCGTAGAAGCTTCATTATGATAACGTAGAAGTACTTTTGGATTTAATTTTAGGCAATTAGTTTTTTCTGAATTAAGTTCGAATTAAGAATTCAGATAACATTGGTCCAATCACATGTCTGCCAGAATTATTCAATTATCTCTTGTATCTCTCAATTTTAAATAATCTCACCAAATAATTAAGATTTGAGGATTTTGATTACTCAGCAATAAGTCTTCTTCAGAGTAAAATTGAACGTTTCAAATAAAAAATTAAAACGAATAAAAACACATTAATTTGTTTAGGTTAAAGTATTTCAAGAAACAAATTAAAGCAAAACGAAAAATTTTTGAAAATAAAAGATGGATCAGAAAATAGGCTTGGATATCTCTATAAGAGAAATCAATCGCTCAGTTTGTTCAGCTTCGATCATTTGGGGAAATAATCCTCACTTCCATCTAATCAATTAAATCATGTGAAAAACTTAAATTAAAAAAAAAAGATAAAGAAGAAGAAAAGGGATCAGAATATTGGCTTGGAATCTCTCTGAGAAAGAAACTTAAAATCGCTCCGTATAATCAGCTTCGATCATCTGGGGAAATAATCATCACATCCCAATTTCTTCGCAATTAAAACATAAAAAGGTACTAACCCGAACGAAAGTTTAAGCAATAAAATTCATCAAACAAATAAATTTTTGATCCGGAAAACGATTTGGGTTTTTATGCATTGTGTGGAGTCTATATATATATACAAGAAAATGGGTGGCTCTACAGCCACGAAGAATAAAATTAGGGTTTTCTTAAGTCGGCTTTTATTTGGGCCCATTAATTTAGTAAGACATCAGGCCCATATATTATGCTTTTCTTTTTGAGATATGAAAAAAATCAGAAAAAGTCATTTTTAGCTCTGACATTTGTATTATTTCTTTTTAGAAGAAAGCATATCTTACATAATGTTGATAAGTGTATATTTTAGCTTTTAATACAAGGGAAGATCATAATTGTCTTGTAGACTACAATTCTACTTAAAAAAACGAGCATTATGATTATGAATCCTCTAATGGTTTATATTTGTGGCAGCCATGAAACGAAAGGAATATATGTGCATGGTCCACTTTTTGATCCTTTACTTCATCTTGCTCTCTGCTTTTGAAATTTCCTGTTCGCTCTTCCTCTGCCTCTACTACATATAGAATAAAATTCTCAAAACCCCTTTTTAATCTCTTGGTGTTACTAAGTTGGGTCACTTAGGTAGATGACTATAGTGAGGATGAATGGATGACAATGTCAGAATTCTTACTTCTTACACTATCATTAAATCAAATAATCATAATTTAATTATTGTTATTAGGTTGTAGTTATGAACTTATGACCTGTGAAACATGCAATGATATTCAATATTTGGTGGGGACATTTAGTACTCCACTAAAATATTAGTTTCGTAAATGATTGAATTTTTTATTTGGATTATATTTTTAAGCACGTAAAAATGTGAAATGTGCTAAATGTTGAAATTTAGAGGTTACATAAGTGACACTTGAAACCGTACTATATAACATATTATGTTCTCGGATATGGAGAAATGTATGAGTTCCAGTTTAGGATCTTTTAATTATACAAAAAACGAGGTCCAATGTGAATGATATAATTTAGTTGGATTTCAACATAAAAATGATATATCATGACCTTCAAGTCATCCCAGCCAACCAAATAACAAAATTTTATCTCTCATTTTACATGTATGTGCAGAAATATTTACCTTTAGAACATTTCCAATCTATTGCTATTTTTTCCTCTACTTTTAGATGAAAAAATAGAAGTGTCATTTTTGTTTTCCATTTCATCTCTATTATAAAGGAAAAAAATAGAGATGCTACTTTTTCCTCCAAATATAGAAGAAAAAATAAGTTTCTCTATATTTTCTTCTAAAATAGAGGTATTTCTCTAAAATAGAGATGGATTGGAGAGAAATCTACCTCTATTTTAGAGTTCTTCTATTTTAGAAGAAAAAATAGCAAAATAGATTGGAGATGGTACTGTAGTATTAAAAAAACAAATAAATAAATTATGAGTTATATGTGGCAAAAAATATATTTCGTTAGCAATTATTAGTTTGAATCGTTCTAAAGACACAAACAAAGAAGATAAAACCAATTTAATAAGTTGGAGGACAAAACATCGCCTTGCTAAAACGAAAGGTATATGACCCACACACAAATAACATATTCACAAAGGCATGTCATATATCTTCAAAACCTTAGTTCTCCTATAAATGTCGACAAACGTCTCATTACGTGAAACACCCAAAACCAAACGCATAGACCCGCGTTTCTATTCTTCTTGCGGTTGGTCTTAAGATACATAACACAATGGAAATGACTTCTGGATCGTTAGGCAATGGGATCCCTGAAGCGATGGGACAAAACCGCGGGAACATAAAACGTTGCCTGGAGAAGTACATTGAGAAAGGCAGAAGGGTGATGAAACTGAAGCATTTGATGGATGAGATGGAGATTGTTATCAATGATTTAACGCAACGAAAACGAGTCATGGAAGGTGATCTTGGCAAGATCTTGTGCTTCACCCAGGTCTTGCTATACTCTTATGTTTTTGTACAAAATTTATATGAAATTAACATTTTAAGAAGCTTTTTATGTATATAATTGGTCTTAGATTGAAATTATACTAAGAATCTTGCATTTTGATCACCATTGCATGACACTTTCAAAACATTTTTTGTCAAGTTGAAATTTGTTTTTAAAATATTAAATTATGAAGGTTTATACATTTATATTTCCAAACTAGATGGTGTTCTCTCTTATAAACGTGATTACATTTTATTTTCTCACATACATGAGATTGCTTTAATGTTGATGGTTTTAAAAATATCATATGGTGAGCTAAATTTAGCAATATAAATGTAAAATGAAACTTCAGGAGGCAGTGGTGATTCCTCCAAACGTGGCGTTTGCGGTAAGAGGAAACCCTGGAAATTGGCAATACGTGAAGGTGAACTCTTCTGATCTCTCGGTAGAGCCTCTATCAAACACGCAATATCTCAAACTCAAAGAGCTTCTCTTTGACGAGACCTGGTACTGCCTACACTTTCTTTGGGCTAAGGATGAAAATGATATGTTTTGATCTAATTATGACTCTGTACATAGGGCTAAGGATGAAAATGCGTTGGAGGTGGATTTTGGTGCGTTGGATTTCACTCTGCCTCGACTTTCTTTGTCGTCTTCAATAGGAAACGGCCTAAGCTTTGTGTCATCGAAGCTTGGAGGCCGTTTAAACGATAATCCACAATCTCTCGTTGACTACTTGTTATCACTTGAGCATCAAGGAGAGGTTAATTTTTCTTTTTTCATTTTTTCCATCAAATCATTTGCTTCATTGATTCTTGTTTTGCTTGTGTAAATGACTTCTTTGCGTTTGTGGCTTACATATGAAAAAGTTTTTACAAATAACTTACATTTCGTTGAAAATATACATAAAATACCACAAAACAATTAAAATACTACAATTTTAATATAAAATTAGTGTTCTTAATCTGTGTTTACGTGTAGATTAATTAACAAAATAGTAGATTCATTTGAGAGGACAAAAATTACACCAAACATAAAATAGCAAATTCAAACAAAACACAAATATATATATTAAGCTTACGTGCATGTTATTATATAATTTCAGAACCTTATGATAAATGAGACATTAAACACGGCACGAACGCTTGAGATGAGTTTGATTTTGGCTGATGTTTTCCTATCGGAGCTGCCTAAGGACACACCTTTTCAAGCTTTTGAACTCAGGTTAGACCTTAAACTCCAGTTTCCATAACTATTTTATATTGCTAACCGAGAAGAACAGGTTTGTTGGTTAATCAGTTTTAATTTTGTGTTAAACCAAAAATAGGTTTAAGGAGTGGGGTTTTGAGAAAGGATGGGGAGAAAACGCAGGGAGAGTAAAAGAGACAATGAGAATCTTGTCGGAGATTCTTCAAGCCCCTGATGCTCGCAACATTGATAGATTTTTCGCTAGGATTCCTAGAATCTTCAACATTGTCATCTTCTCGGTTCACGGTTACTTTGGTCAAACCGATGTTCTTGGTTTGCCCGATACCGGCGGTCAGATTGTTTACATTCTTGATCAAGTCAAGGCCCTTGAAGATGAATTGCTTCACAGAATCAACTCTCAAGGCCTTAACTTCAAACCTCAGATTCTTGTTGTAAGTTATATTTTCTTTTTCCACTTAACTTTAGTCGTAAAATCTTCATCAAGAACCGAAGAATTCACATATATGTCATGCTTCCAAAGTGATATATGTGAATGACCAAAAAAAAACCACCCTACTTAGATTATAGACACATTAATTTTGGTATAATACATTAAAAGAAATGGTATAATGCAAATAGACATTACGAATCAAAACGTTGAATATATTTTTGTTTTTTTCTATAAATGTGAGATATTGATGTTGAGAATTTGATTTTAGGTAACACGATTAATCCCAGATGCAAAGGATACTAAATGTAACCAAGAATTCGAACCCATTATCGGTACCAAACATTCAAATATTCTTCGAATTCCATTTGTAACCGAGAATGGGATTTTACGTCGTTGGGTTTCCCGCTTTGATATCTATCCTTACCTAGAAAGGTTCACTAAGGTAAAAATCAAATATAAGAATGTTAAATCCGTATTTTTTTCCCTACAAATTTTACATTGTAAAAGTATATATTATGAGTAGGATGCAACAACAAAAATCTTGGATATTTTGGAGGGAAAACCCGACCTAGTTATCGGAAATTATACGGATGGAAACTTGGTGGCATCACTCATGGCTAATAAGCTTGGAATTACTCAGGTCTCTTATCTTTATAATTTCTAAAAATAAGATCAATAATTACTCATTTTATATCAAAACAAATTAATTTAAATGAAAAAAAAATTACTAAAAATCCAGGCAACTATTGCACATGCCTTGGAGAAGACGAAATACGAAGACTCGGACAACAAATGGAAGGAGTTTGATCCGAAATATCATTTTTCATCTCAATTTACGGCAGACTTAATCTCTATGAACTCTGCTGATTTCATCATAGCTAGCACTTATCAAGAGATTGCTGGAAGGTAATTAATTAATTTTCATTAGGACTGTGCATTATTCCGGTTTAACATTGTTCGGTTCGATTTTGACAGCAAAGAGAGGGCGGGTCAATACGAGAGCCACATGAGCTTTACACTCCCTGGACTATACAGAGTTGTCTCTGGCATCAATGTGTTTGATCCAAGGTTCAACATCGCAGCTCCTGGGGCGGATGACTCTATCTACTTCCCTTTCACTGCGCAAGACAGGAGATTCACCAAGTTTCATCCTTCCATTGAAGAACTCTTGTATAGCCAAAATGAGAATGATGAACACATGTACGTCTCTATTCCCTATTTTTCTTTTTACTATACTCATTTACATACTCATAGTACTACACAGTTTCAAAAAGTGGTTAATGGCTACTTATTTACATATGAAACAATTATTTTTACAAAATGCAAATTGTAAACACACACAACAAGCGCAAATTGAGTTCTATTTCTATTTGTGCGTAGTGTTTGCATTTACATTTAACTAAAGAGTTTAATTGCAAATGGTAACACATTATGGATTGTTTTACCCTCGAAAAAAATATCATATATATATATATATATATTGAAAAACTTTGGCTCCAAGAGTTTCGTTTGCGACTCTTGTGGTTTATTTGTATGCTCTTTTTAATCGAATATAGTAACCATCATATGAAGAAAAAGTATCGAAAACTTTGTTACGATTTCATATATTTATATTTCTTAATTCGCTACGAAAGAATAACAAAAATGTCAATATAGCTAAGAAAAAATTAGCCACAAAGTTATAGTCGCAGAAAAGCCACATAAAAATTTCATCCACATAGCATCATGACTAATTTTTTCTTAGGTATATTTGCTTTTCGTAGTTTTTGTTTTGTGCCTTTTTCGAGGTAGTTATAGAAAATCCGTGGCTATTTCATGGTTATACAAATAATTTTTAGTAGTTACTAACCAGTTTTATTTTGTCAATAATTGAATTTAACGGATCTTTTCTTATGAACAAAAAGTGGTTATTTGGTGGACAAGAAGAAACCTATAATCTTCTCAATGGCAAGGCTTGATGTTGTAAAAAACCTAACTGGATTAACCGAGTGGTACGCCAAGAACAAGAGGCTAAGAGACTTAGTCAACCTAGTGATCGTTGGAGGATTCTTCGACCCTTTAAAGTCTAAAGACAGGGAAGAGATCTCAGAGATCAAGAAGATGCATTCTCTGGTCGAGAAACACCAACTCAAGGGTCAGTTTAGATGGATCGCCGCTCAGACCGATAGAACAAGAAACGGTGAACTTTACCGTTGTATTGCAGATACAAGAGGTGCTTTTGTGCAGCCTGCTCATTATGAAGCCTTTGGTCTTACTGTCATTGAAGCCATGAGCTGTGGTTTGGTCACATTCGCCACGAACCAAGGCGGTCCTGCCGAGATTATTGTGGACGGTTTATCCGGTTTTCACGTTGATCCGAGCAATGGAGAAGAATCGAGCGATAAGATTGCGGATTTCTTTGAGAAATGCAATATGGATCCTAATTACTGGAATATGTTTTCGGCTGAAGGGCTACAACGCATAAGTGAATGGTATATATATATATATATTAGTAATTGCATATAATTTCTGAAGATTAGTTTAAATTTTTGTATGATTGTATATGTGCAGCTATACTTGGAAGATATATGCAAACAGAGTGATAAACATGGGAAGTACATATAGCTATTGGAGGCATTTGAACAAAGATCAGAAGTTAGCAAAGCAAAGATATATTCAATCCTTTTACAATCTCCAATACCGGAACTTGGTAAAACTATTTTGTCGTTTTTTTTTCCCACTTATGACATGATCAGATTTTTTTTTTTTTTGAACTAAAATTTTATGACATGATCAGAATTGAAACATAAATGTTTTGTTTTTGTTTTGTTTGGAACAGGTGAAAAATGTACCCATATTGAGTGATATTCCTCAGCCGCCTCCTCTTCCTCCAAAGCCTTTGATTAAACCATCATCAACTAAAGGGTAAATTGAAGTATTATTCAGAATAACCATAGTTTATATAGATTGAATATATATTAATGTTATAATTTGTTATTTTACAGTTCGAAGCGAACAGTGTCACGGTTGAGTTTCAGGATGTTTGGTGCTTAAACGCTCTTGAACAAATGCAGATAGTATTCCAATTACAGAAAATAACAAAACTCTGTTGATGTTTGATTTCTTAATTCTTATATTTATGCTATTGTAATCTGATATATGTAAACTTTCAAAATTTGCCCAAAAAAAAAAAAAAACTTTCAAATTGAAAAACAAAATCTTTGAAACAAAATGTTCAAGTTGTGTGATTATACATTAGACTAAGGAAAAGAAAAACACAAATATATATTTCACTTTTATTATTGATTCTTATTTAATGTTTGAAGTAACTTTAAGTAAACTTAAACTTCCACTGCCATATTAATCACTAAACTTAAACTTCCATTGCTATTAAGCTTGATTAGCTTCTTTTGTTTCTTACTATTTGGGAAGAAATATAAACGCATAATCATTTTTACCATTTACGTACGTCAAATTAAAAGATTATAAATTAGAACACAAGTAAACAAAATTTGAAGAGAATCTAGTCTTTGTTGAAAAACAATGACGTTTTTCTCCAGAACTAACTTATAACCTATGTTGTGCTCTCAAGTACCAATTAAACAATCAAGACTTACTCAAGCAAAAGTCTCCTGAATCGATTTACTTATATGCCTCGATGACCTTCGAATAAAACTCCCATGACTCATGCCTCTCCGTTATTGCTGTTTGGCCGAACGGATTCTCCGCTACAAACTCTTGAACATTGTCCACATCCGCTAACCTTTCCAAGTACTTCCTGAGCTCACCATTAGGTCCTGTTCTCAATAAATGAACCAACGGTGTGAATCAGTAATTGCAAACTGTATAAGCTATCTTTCTTAGCATTTGATTCTCCATCAACTCTTTTTGCTTGTTGTTGAGAGAATTAAGAAGGTAAAGACTCACCCAATTCAGAATCTTTACGGTTTGTGTATTGGTACGGGCAAGGAAAGATTCCAGTGTATGGCTAACAGAGAGCAAGAACAATGTTAAATGTTAAATGTAAGATCGCAAACATTGAATACATAAGCTTTAACTGCAAGAGTGTCAAGTACTTACAGGATTACACAAGGCCTTGTGGGGTGAATCGTCAACTAACAAAGTGTTTCTCTCATTGTACTTTCCTCTTCCACAAGTATGACATGTACCAAAACGGTCCCAAACTCTTCTTAGATCCTTAAGGAATATAGGTTTTGAGCTTTTCTCTAGAGTATTGAACTTTGTTGTAGTGCACATATGTTGATCCTGAGCGCATACAGAAAAAGGAATTAGAATAAGCTGAGGACATATGTAAACAGCATATCTCAATTTACAGAGCTCCTAGAGATTGTGTAATAGAATTTTATACTTTTCAACGTAAATTGCATCTCTCATAATCAAGAACATAGTTCATAAAAAGGTTTTTGAGATCACTTACGAAACAGAAAGTCACATTTTTTGCGTGGTTCCCCATGACAATGTAGGCCATGTAATCCAATCCACTGGTAAGAGAAAAAAAGGAAAGACGAAGTTAAACTTAGTATATGTATTAAGACATTTGATTAGTAACAAAAGAAAAATGCATTTGAGAATCGAATAAGTCAATAGAGCTTACATGCGTCTGGAAGACCATATGCCAACATCAAATCTCTCAAAGCAGAAGTCGAGAAATCTAGCAACAAAGGGTCTCTTGAAAACTATAGAAAAGAACAAAAAAAATAGTCAATTCAGAGTCACATAAGCTTGTAAGAATCTGCAAATGGACACATTGAAATTTATGATTTCTTACCTGCTCTATCTGAAATTATACCATCTGGAAGAGGAGAACCTCTATACCCCTGAACAATATCTGCAAGGATACCATTCAAATCTAACACGACCAACTTCCTGATTCTTTGACCTTGGCATGTGCATCTAGGTGAATCTCTTGTTCCTAGTGAAGCCATTCCTCGAGCCAAGTTATTGAGTTTTAAAACTGAACTTGACAAAGATCTTACCACCTCCAATTCTGGTTTTTTCTCATTCCTTGGTACAGAAAGGTTATCCGTCTTCTCATCCATATCACCAGTTTCGTGATCATCATCACAAGTCTTTTTCTTGTCATCGCTCTTCCTCTTCCTCTTCTTTGTTTCGACCTCAACGTTATTGTGTATTAAGACAGAACTTGGCAAAGATGTTTTTCCGTCGAGTTGTGGTTTTTCCTCATTCATTGGTATAGAAACGCCATCGGTCTTCTCTAACATATCATCACAAGGCTTCTTCTTATCGCTCATCTTCTTCTTCTTCTTCTTCCTCTTCTTTGTTTTGACCTCAACCTTATCAACACTTTCTGCACCCAAAGCATCGTGATGAACTCCTCCCTTTTTATCATTTTTCTGTTCAGAAACTTCAGCTTTGCTTGCCAAATCCTTACCGACAGTTTCACCATTGATAGGTTGATTCTTCTGAGCCTCTTCAACAATCTGTGCACCAGAAGCAACGAGAGTATCTTCTTTAGCTGGAGTAGCAGCATCTTGATGAACTTCTCCCTTTTTATCCATTTTCTGTTCAGAAACTTCAGCTTTGCTTGCCAAATCCTTACTGACATTCTCCTCATCACAATCTCCCACAACTTTGATAGGTTGATTGTTGTGATCCTCTTCAACAATCAGGACAAGAGTATCTTCTTTAGCTGGGGTAACACCAGCAGTAGATCGATTGATGCGATTCTTCTTTGAAGGCCTCTTTCGCCTTTTCTTCTTCTTCTCCGTAGAAAGACCACTGTTAGCCTCTAACTGGTTTCCAGCAGTTTGAAGATTATCTTGAACATTTCTGTCTATGGAGTGGACAAAATTTATCAGTAACGATCACCAATAAACAAAAAAAACAAAAAAGCTTACTTTTTTCTATTGCTCCGGCGACTAAATCATATGTTGGTGATATCACACAATGTTCAGCAGCAAGACCAACTTGTACTTCTCCAGATACCTTCTGACGCTCATTCACATCATCTCTTAAAGTTATATGCGCATCAACAAGTGCTAAAGTAGGTGCAAGAATCTTCTCTAGGCCAATCTTGTCTAATTCTTCTCCTGTTTCAAGATCTATTGCTCTCTTAAGATCATTTAGCTTCTCAACATCACAAGATTCAGAAGCAACCTCATTTAGCTTCTCAACATCACAAGATTCAGAAGCAACCTGCACTTTTCCACATAGCTCCTGACTCTCATCCGCATTATATCTAGAAGAAGTTGCAGCAACAACATCAGATTCATCTGAACTTTTCAGTTTCCCCTCTTTTGATTTCTTCTCAGCTACTTCTTCCAAAGCATCTTCAATGGTCAGATCTTTGGTACCATCAATTGCAATCTCCTTCTCTCTCTCAAGCAACTCATTTTCGGAACATTTTTTGTTGGTAGCTTTTACACTCAGATCAACATATATATACCAATTTCTAATTCCTGCAAGCGCCAAGCTCAAAATCACAGAGTCTGAGCAGTGATAAAACTGATCTCTTCGTTTAACCTGAGTATGTAAAGAACAAAACCACACTTCATTAAGCTAAAACATTCATACCTTTACAGCAGAAATTTCGATTTCTCCAATAAAGAAGAGAACCAACACAGCAAAAGCTAAACATTCATACCTTTACTGCAGAAATTTCAATTTCTCCAATTTCTGGAAAACATTGCATATGCTCCTTGCATAAATTTTCTAAAATTAAAAACACAATAATCAGAAACCCAGTAACAATGCAGCCAGATTTAGGGGGAGGGAGTAGTTGGATTTTTTGTCTTTCTGACCTTTGAAATCAGAGCTTGTATCATTGTTGTTGAGGAGAACACCGAGATGGGTTTCGAGGTTCGTCTCCACAAAGACGCAGCGACTCTGCGGTTCTCTGAGATTCGCCATTAGAACAAGTTAGAAATTGCCGGAAACGGAAGGAAGCAGACGACGAGCGCGAGCGTGAAGTGAAGAAGATGAGGTCGTCTTGGATTCGAAAAGGGTTTTAGGGTTTTAACTTGAGAGTCGCTTTTTTGTCCGACATTGAAATAATTTGGAGATGAACAGTGAAAACAAATACTATTTGTCTTCTCAAAATACGATCAATTAACTTTTTTTATTTCGAAAAACAAGAGAATCATTCTTACTAAATGTTTATTAGTAAATGTTTAAAAACTACCATGATATTTATAATATATATCATTGCAATTATTAGATAATTTTATTAATTCATTAAAGATAATTTAATTATATTATTAAACTACTAAAAATACATTAAATTAAATTAAATTATATTAGTTTGTTAAAAAGTAATATCAATAAATTATATATGATATTTAATAAAATTTAATTTATTTAATTTCGAAATTATTTAAAAATCTTTTATAATATCTTAACATAATTACCACATATATATGCTATAAATAACTAATATAATTATATATATTATAATATAAATTAAATATATATTATATTATAATCAATTTCTTCTCTATACAATTAAAAAAGTACTATTTTAAAATGTCTAAAAACTAATATGGTATTTACTAAATGTGACAATTTATAGTTATAGTCAATGATAAATATGTAATTTTTTTTATTACATATATACATACTAAAAAAAAAATATTATGTAAATAATTATTTTTTCTGGTTTGTTAATGATTTTTTACGGGAAATAATGGGTTTGCGGATTTGACAAAGACAAATTTGTAGATTTAAGAATTTTACAAGTTTTACTGGGTTTTATAAGTTTTAGCGGAAAATATATTTTTTTTTATGAGAAGATGCCGGTTTGACAAGAAATGTGTTTTTGTAGATTTAGCAGAAACACATGATTTTAGAAATTTGGTCGTACATCATGATTTTACAGATTTTATGGGGTTTACGGGAAATACGGGTTTGCATAATACGAATAACGTAATTTTACGGATTTTGTGGAGTTTACAGGGTTTAGTGGGAAAATATATTCATACGGGAAAATGAGAGTTTGTGTGTTTGAAAACTCGATTTTGCAGGTTTGGCATAAACACATGAGTTTAGAAATTTGATTGTAAAATACGATTTTATGGATTTTACAATTTTACGGAAAATATGTATTTGTGGATTTGGCCGGAAACGTGATTTTGCAAATTTTACTAGATTTATATGTTTTGGCGGGTTTTATAGGTTTTGATGGAAAAATGTGGTTTTATAGATTTTATACAATTTGTGGGTTTGATGAGAAACACAATTTTGCATGTTTGCCAAAAACACGTAATTTTATAAATTTGGCCATAGAATATGGTATTATGGTGTTGGGGAAAACATAATTTTTGGTTTTGTTAAAAAATGTGGGTTTACAGTTTTGGAAGGAAAATACAGTTTGATGGAAAATGCTATTTCTACAGTTTCCACGGAAATTCCCGATTTTGGAACAACAACATGATTTTAGTAATTTTTTGGTTTTGTTAAAAAATGTGGATTTACAGTTTTGGCAGGAAAATAATGTTTGTTTGATGGAAAATAATATTTTTATAGTTTCTACGGGAATTCCCGATTTTGGTACAACAACATGATTCTGGTATTTTGCTGGAAAATGCAGCATTTTATTTCGATAGAAAACTCTGATTTTATGGTTTTGACAAAGAAAAAACTTGTGTGGTTTAAATTAAAAGGTGTTTTGGTCTTTCAATTTTTGAGATTCAAATGCTGCATTCAAACTCTATTTTTTTAGCATCTTAAAATATTCAAATTTTGAGATATTATAGCTTTTGTATCCAAATATTTTTAAAAATAAGCATTTATATTAAAATCTTAATTACAAACAAATAAATTCTCTCTTGCATTATAAAACATAATATTTTGAAATATTGGTTACAAAATTTAACAGAATATCCACTAATCAAAATATCTTTTTTTTTTATATAAAATCAAGCCTAAATAATTTTAAGGACATAAAACCATAATGTAAAAATAGTTTATATAATCTAATAAAAAAAATTCTGTTTGGACCAAAATTTTAAATTTAATAATATAAGTTGATTTTGTTTGAGCAAAAGTTTAGTATAAATCAATTTTTGGTGTGGTCTAAAACTATTTTATAAAAAGAAACCCACGCAAGTGTGCAGATCCAAAATCTAGTAACCTTTAAAAACACACTAGTTAAAAATATAGGGTGATTTTGCTCAATTTTCATATTTGAACTTAATATTAGAATTTCAATTTGAAATGTCTCTCAGTCTAAAACACAAATCTGAAATATTTACAGTCTAATTTTATTTCGTTTTGAATTTATATCTGGATTACCTAAAATCCTATTCAACTAACAATATTTACATTTATATCTAGATTCTACCTGTCCACTCAACTAAAATCAGATCTAACCCCTAACTCGAAACTAAAAATCCCTAACCCGAAAGAGACTTAAACTGTCCAACTCCTCACCCGAAACTATCGGAGCCTCAAACTGTCAGCTCCTCATAAAACTTTAACTACTCATTCCTAATTCATTCAATTTCAAATCTTCTCTCAATTTCAAACTGCTTACTTCGATTCGAACTCGATCCTCTCTTCGTGTATTTTCAATCGATTCAATGACCAAGACAAAATGGACAAGAAAGAAGAAGAAGAAGATTGCTCAAGACAAAGTGGACAAGAAACAAAGCGGTTCGGATCCGCCGATTGATGAGAATGAAGAGCTTGAAGAAGAGGGGGAAGGATCTACGGTTCCGATTGGCGAAGAAGCAGAAAGTATAAGACTCTTTTTCTTATAGTTTTGAACTCGTAGTACTGGTATTACTACGTATAACTTTGTTGTTAGTTTTGAATTTGAACTCGTACTCCTGGTATAACTATGTCGAACTATGTTGCTTGTTTTAGTTCAAATCCTTGAATTTGTATTCCAACTATGTTGTTTGTTTCTGAACTCGTATTACTTGGTATTAATATGTGATAGCCAGCTATATTCAACAGTTTTAGGCTGCATTTCATATATTCTTTCCCCCACTTTTGCATAGTTTCTTAGCATTTTAGTCTTAGTTGCACTTAGAAATAGCATTGCTTGCATATAACTTAGGATTTGCATACATATGCGTGTTTATAATGTCTTTCAGGTGTATTTGGAGCATTTGGAACTTGGAAAGGAGGTTGAAGCAGTTCACATTGGTGAAAAGGACAAGAAAATGAGTTTTTGATAATTCTGTCTGCACCGAGGAGAAGCATCGAGCAAAACACCCGTGGAGTGTGTCCGATGTGACCAGCAGGACGAAGGGGAGTACTCTGCCCGTGGGCTTCAAGACCATACCGGGATGATGCATCAAGCTGGGCAGGCCGTACGAGCCGATACGAGGAGACATGACATATCGGGGTCCAGCATCGAGCTGAACACCCGACAATCTTCCCGATATGATCCAAGACCTGCATCATGATGAGGAACTGCAAAAGTGACCAAGGCACGAATAAGGGATATTCTGCATCAAGGAGGCACACCGAGCAAAACACCTGTCCGTACACCCCGATGCGTCAACGCCAAGAGTTGACTAACTTTTTTTACTTTTTGCCAAACCTCATCTTTAGGCCTATTTAAGCTTAATCTTATCTTTTTGTTATCTTATCTTCTTCTTTATCCTATTTTCGACCTTGTGGGAAACCACAAAGAGATTTTTATGGGATTTTGATCTAGATCACCTTTTTAATAAAGTTTTGCACTTCCTTTGTCATTTTCCCTCTAGTTCTTATTTGATCATGTTTGATTTGTCATCTCTGTTTGTTTCCGTTAATTTCATGATGTGTTGTGAGTAGTTTCATATGGTTTGAGGGTAGAGCAGATTTGGGGATGATTGGTTGATAACTTAGGGAGTTTTTGGTTTAATTCTTGCTTAGATCACTTAGCTAGGTTGTTCTTAAGGCTTGAGTAACTTGTTTGAGTGAAATCTGATCTTAGGTATTTGCTGTATCAAAAGTGTTTGTTTAAATGCCTGAAAGAACTTTGCTAGGAATAATCGCCTAGATGATTATATTGTGTTTAGGTTGTTTGTTTGGTCTTTAAGAGTCTTGTGTTTTCATGCTGGTTTTGCACAAATACGCCATCATGATAGGGCTCAGGTTTTACCCAAATAAAAACTACTGCAAGTGCACAACAAAAACAGTTGTAGTACAAAGAGTATCGAATCCCAAAGGAGTAATGCAAACTACACTATCGAATGTAGGTTCGGATTAAGCTAATGAGAATGTAATGTATGTAATGGGAATGATAAATAAAAGTAAGCAAACGAAATTCAAGTTGTTGATCTAAGTTTCAGAAGACTAAAAACGCTAAGTCAGAACAGTTCGCAGGTTGAATCCAAGAATGTAGAATGCAAGAAATCAGGAATGATTAAGGACCGTTTTAAACATGAATCACTAATTTATAACTAATCAATTCTCATTGCAGAAGTTATCTATGCCTAAATCACAGAGTTTCAAATCTCTTTGCAAATCCTAACAATCTAAACATGCAGTAATGATCAGATTCAATTGTTCACAAAACTCCTAAGCCAAATCTCTTTGCACTAAGTTGTTTTGCTCATCAAATACTAGTTCAGGTTATAAATAATGCTCTAACATATATTTAACAACCTATGATTTTCGGATTTCTAGATGATGTGTCTAAGAAATTCGATTTTAAAGCAAGCAGAGATGAAAAACCAAAAGATATTCCTAACAGGTAGCAATTCTACAAACTCTTCATCAACCTTTGAAAAAAGCCCTAACTTAACTAGCAGGTTACTCAGACATGATTATGTATTCACAAAACATAACTGAATAAATTTGCATTAAGAGAAAGAGTAAAAGAATAAGGGGGTTCGAAATATTCTCAAAAGAGTACAGGTTTAGTCTTCCCAAAAAGCTCTGAATAAATCTTTCTCTAAACTCTCTGAATTCTCAAAAACTAAGATAAAAGCCAACAATGGCTGAAAAACCTAATAAATACAGGCTAAACACAATCTGGGGTCTTCTTGTAAATAATGGAACTTCTGGGCCAATTCTGCAAATATTGCTCCATCTTTTAATAAACAGCCAC